TAAACTACCCTCACTATCTTGAACTCAGAACACTGCCCCCAAACCAGACAAGCCATGTTTAATGAGCAACAGCAGGGTGACTGTCAGAGGACTGGTGTTCTCCAGCTAACCTCTTTGCTCTCTGACCCTGGACAGAGGCAGAGAGACAGGGAAAGAGCCCGGTCTTTGGGGGTATGGCAAGCTTTGTGCAGAGCGCTCAGGTCAGGTCTGACCAAAGACCAGAGCTAAGCGCTGAGTTCCAGCCAGCTCTGCGTTGCTGTTTGGAAACCTCATTCTGGAAAACCGAAACTCAGCAGCGGGGCTCTCCACACCCGGACAAAGAGAAAGGGCTTGGGAAGGCACCCGGAGTGGGACTGAATTGAGAACAGGGAGCTCAAGGAGAGTGGCTGGAAGCGTTTCTCTGCTCAGAAATTGTTTCACGTCCTGAGATTTTATTTCCAGGGTTGAACTCTGAGGTGTGCAACAGCTGGTGGGGTCCGGATGGGGAATACTCCGGAAGCCCAGCGCTTGGGGCTGAGAGTAGGGTGAAACTTCGTAAAACCCTGGATGGGGTGGGGAGGGTCGGGCTGGGCGCTCACCTGTTCCAGCGGGCCACCTTCCTCCGGTAATACCGCAGCGCCTCCTGGCTGGCCAGGAGCGAGTCTTCCGGCCCCAGGAGAGGCGGCTCCTCCAGGACGTGGTAGAGCGAGTGCGCGAAGAGGGCCTGCAGCTTGGAGCGCGGGCCCCTGCGGCCGCCTTTGGGATGCTCAGCTTCGGGCCCGGCTCGGGAAAAGTTGTGCGCCACGGCGTCGGGGACCCGGGAGGCTGCGGCGGGGGCCGGGGCCGGGGAGGAGGCGCGGCGAGAGCACGGGCAGCCCGGCGGGCGCTCGCGGGGCCGCAGCTGGCGCTGAACTCGGGGCCAGAGGTGGAAGTAGAGGTCGGCGGAGAAGAGCGCGCCCAGGAGCAGCAGGGTCAGCAGGCGGTCCCGGCGCAGCCCCGGCATGGCCCAGCCGGCCGGCGTGGGGCGGCGGGATGCCCCAGGCTGTCTCTGGGGACCGGGGAAGGCACTCGGGCTGCAGACGGAGGAGGCTCCTGGGGTCCCGCGGGCTGATCCGAGAGGACGGAGTTGAGATGTTCACTGCAGGAGGATTAGCCACTCCCGGAAGGCTGTCGCCCTTGAACTTGGGGACCGCGTACGGGGAGCACTGCGGCGGGCGGTGGGGACAGCTTCGCCCAGTGGGGACGCGCGGTTGGGTGCCCTGGGCGTCGGCTTCTCGCACTTTCTCTGCCCTTTGTCCGCCCTCCCGGGGGCCGCGGCAGGTGGAGGTCCCCGGGGCGCGGGTGCTGGCTCTCTTCGCGGGCAGCCCGGGTTGAGGCGGTTCGCCGCGGCGCTCGCCCCAGCGAGGAGGCAGAAGGCTGCGCAGCCCGGAGTCTCTCCGGAGGATGCTGTCGCTCCGCCGCCGCCGCTTCAGCGGCTCCTGCTGCGGGCGACAGGAACTCCTAAGTCCCGGGCTGGCCCAGATCGAGGGAGAGAGCAGGCGACGAAGCGGAGCAGCCTCGGGGCGAGCTGGTCTGGGAGCCCGGACTCCTAGAGGCAGAGGTAACGCCTGGCCTCCCTCTGCCTGGCCTGGCGCCGGCACCTCCGCCCACTCTCAACTGGCACCTGCCTCTGGCGCAGCTCGCCAGCCAACTCCCGATCCCTCTGCCGGCTCTGCCCTTCCACCTCGTAGTCAATCCATTTCTCCTGCCCCTCCCTCTCCCCCTCGCGCCTGGCCACCTACTTTCCCGGCTTTTAGGGCGCATCATACACATTTTGGGGGAATCAAGCTAGGTGGGCTGACGCCTTTTAGTTCCATTTTTTTTTTCTTTTTAGAAATAACCACCACAACCCTTAAAAGCCTTTCAATCCTGTAAGCTTTGCCAGATGTATGTATGGAGTGGGGCAAATCTCTTCCGTGGCGTGCTCCCCGCAGGGCACGTACTGGATTTGTAGCAACCACGCGTCCACAGCCTAGTAGGCGCTTGCTTCGGAGACACCCACCCGTTTGGTGGAAAAAGTAAGCCTGACCTTTAAAAATAAGGCGCCCGTTTAACCTAGAATCCTGGCGATTTCCTGTTTGGAGTTTTACTCCAACTCTGCCTGTACTTTGAGAAGAGGAAATGGTTCTTGTACTGCAGGAGGAAGAGGCCCCAATGACCCCACTCCGAACTCAAGTGTAGCCCGGTGTGGAAGAAGTCCACCCAAGTGAATCACTGGGGGAGCCGCTTAGGCTCTTCTGATGTTCTGTGAGATCATTTTTACTTCTCGGCCCCAAGTTCCTCCGGAGGAGGAAGGGGACAGGGATCTCTGAACTCCTGGCTCTTTAATAACCTGGGAGTACTGTAAAATGCAGGTTGGCTTGGAGAGGTAACAGCCCTGGGAAGTGTTTGGGAAAAGGCGCCCTCTTCGCCAGCGGAAGCTCCTACGTCTGTTAGTTTTACTGGTTAACCGCTCCTCTTCCGTTGCTGGAGTCTCCGTTCTGAGACACTCTGGCTTTTGGGTTCCAACTGAAATTCTTTTCCCTGTGGTTGGTGGACTGTTTCTTGTGGCCCCTGCCGTCCTCTTATCTGTAAATGAAGCGTGTGTGTGTGTGTGTGTGTGTGTGTGTGTGTGTAGCCAGAGGCCAGCCTCTGGTGTCATTTCTCAGGATCCACTCACTTTAGCTTTCTTTCTCTGGAACCTGGGGATGGTGGATGAGGTTGGACTGACTTGCCCATGGATCCTCCTGTCTCAGCCTTTCCAGTGCTGGGATTATAAACCCACTGCCACCTTGCTAGCTTGGGTTTTTACATGGGTGCTGGGAACTGAACTCAGGTCCTCATATTTGCCCAAGCACTTACTGATTGAGCTATATCCTCAGCACCCTGTGAATGAAAATACTAATGGAATTTATTCCTTGGGGTCATTTTGAAGTTTAAAATGAATTAAATATATAGGCTACTCATGATAATTCCTAACTCAAGCTAAATACCTGAGCTATGTATATCTGCTCCAGTGATTACTTCTCATTTCCTGTCCTTTACTAGGCTAGGGACTCTTTATGGGGGTGGGGGTGGGGGATGGACAATTACAGAAACAGAAGATACCGGAAAAGAATTGTCTTCACAGCACCACACTGTGGCCTCAATGGTGAGTCCAAATGAGGCACCTCAAGATGCACTATGTCCAGCCAATTCGCTTACCTACATATGATAATAGACATCTGAGAGTGTTCTGGGGGACTTTCCCATTTTAATCTAGAATTAAATTTTAATAGGCGATCTATTTCTGAGGAGCTTTGCAACTTTTGATGTGTCTACTTAGGCATCATGGCCAATAGATTAAAAGGCCAGACACTGAGTGATGATGCTGTATCTGTGATAATAAACTGTTTTATGTGATAGATGATATAGGACAATGCATTTCTGGACTGGCACAGACATGTGCATGAAGACAGCACAAGTCTTATGACTTTGATTCTCCCTAGCCAATGAGATCATACTTCCTCAGGAGACCTATTTTTTTTTTTCTGGCCCCAATATAGAGAACGTTATTTATAGCTTGCTTGGAGATTATCTAAATATGTTTGTTCTGTAAAGGGTAGCACTGTGTGTGGAGGTGAGATAGAAAGTATGTGTGAGGCTGGGGTAGTCTAGTAGGCATCTTGCACACAGGACTGGCTGGTCAGATGCTACTGTTGCCAAGCTTGACCAAATCCTTCTTTCTCTTTCCCAGACATGTACTCTCCTCCTCTATTTCTCTAAATCTTGGCTCCTGGCTTCCTAACCAGCCTCAGCTACATCCTCTCAATTCATGATGAAGCTGCTGTTTGCTAAGATCTACCATTCTCTTGAGCTTCCCACTGGAGAGCCATCTCCCCTTTTCTATCTCTATCATTCTTGGATGAACCTAGAGCTTCACAAATTCTTCTTAGACGTGCAGATCGGTTCCTGATCTGCCCCTTTGCTTCCAGTCTGGCCTTGTCTCAGTGCTCACCCATACTCACCAGAATGGGACTTCTAGACTGCAAATACAACCGGAATATTTTCATCCCAACACCAACCCCAGCTTCTCATGCATCGAGATTAAGCCGTTTGTTATGATATAGCACTTCACAGTCTGGCTTCTAATTTCCTTCCCAGCCTCATTTCCAGGGATTCTCCCTCCCCAGTCTTTACCTCATAATGGTCTGCAGTTCTCTAAGGCCTTCAGGATCCTACAGACCTCTTAATCAAATGTTTTTTCTTTCCCCTTTCCCTACTTGAGGAACATCCATGTATCCATTTTCTACCCACCCTTTGGGCACTTGTCACCCCCCCATGTTTATCCTTGTGCCCACTAAATTCAGTGCCATTAGCTCTTGTGTGTTTCCTGTTCCTCACGTGGTCCTCTACTTTACCATTGACCGTGCTGTAGTTCACTGTGTGTGTTCTGAGTTGAGCTATGCCCCTCCCGCATTTGTATGTTTAACTTAAACATCTCAGAATATGACTTTCTTTGGAAATAAGGTCATTGCTGGTATAATCAATGTGAAGTCATAGTGGAGTAGAGTGGGCCCTTATTCTGATGTAACTGGTTCCCTTATAAAAAGGGGGGGATTTAAGTACAGAGAGATAGGAACACCTAAAGAGCACTAGGCAAAGTTGAAGGTGGAAACTGATAGCCAGTGAAACCTTAAAAAGCAGGCAAGAGGCATGGAGTGGAGTTCTCAGAAGAGGCCAGCTCTGCTGACCCCTGGATCTTGGGCGAATAGGCTCAAGAACTGTAAAGCAATACATTTCTGTTTTTGGAGCCACTCTCTTTGTGATGTTTTGTTAAAGCAGCTCTTACAAACTAATACAGTGTGTTTGTCTGTCCCCCTAGTATGGCACCCACCTCAGAGGATAGAGAGAGGGGACTACTTATTAACATACACAGGTATCTGAGGATACAGCTTTCCATGTGGGAAATGCTTGTTGAGCAAGGAAGGGACTGGCTTACTGGCTTCTTGGCCATTATAGTATCTCACACAGGGCCTGGAACACTGTAGGGGCTTAACTGTTGGATATGATAGAATTATATCATTTTGAACCCTGTAGGAGACACAGAAGAAATATCTGATGCAGTTATTTCCTGCCTTCAAGCATTTTTTATGATCATTAGAGAGACAAGATCTGTCTGTACCTACAGGCCAATTAAGAAAAAGAATGAGGCAGCACACCAAGCAGATTAGGGAATCTGCCACTGTGTGCTTTTGAAGAGCAGATGTAAAGGGCACTTGTATTTCCTCTCAGTCTCACTAAATATCAAGATCTCTCTGTCCAGGAATTAAATCATGAAGTCAACAGAGGCAGCACGAGCTCCTCAATCTGTGGAAGTTTTACCTGATTTTTTTTTTTTTTAACCTTGCACACTTTCTCATGTTGCTTAAAACACGACTTACTGTTTCTTACTTGCATGGCTGGTTTTCTATGCTCAACCTTAACTTTATACGAACATGTGCTTGCTTTCCTTTCTGGCCTTCACAGGATATTGTATAAAGCAAGGCCTACAGACAAGAGCTAATAAATTTTTTGCAGAATAAATGAAATGGTGTGTGTGTGTATGTGTGTGTGTGTGTGTGTGTGTGTGTGTGAATGTGTGTATGTTTACATGTACTCTTGTATGGAAGGTACAGTGACTTGGAATTTTATTTAAAATAAAAGTTGATCTATTAAAATTGAGTCACATATTTTAAAACTATATTAAAATAGAAGACCCAATATAATCTCAATGGACCTATCTAAAGAGTGGTAGGTAAGAGCCTATTACAATGCTATATCTAAGCCTCTATGTCCTTGAGAGTTCTTATTCCAATATAGATGTATGTGAGGGCAGTGTTGCCTGTATCTGCTAGCAATTGAAATGACTGTGAACAGGAGATTCCGAATGGACCAAGTATAAGAGATCTGAGACTGAGCTGGTGTTTATTCATCACCTTATTCTAAGCCAGAAAGTCTCGAATTTCCTTCTTTCCTTCCTTCCTTCCTTCCTTCCTTCCTTCCTTCCTTCCTTCCTTCTTTCCTTCATTTTTTTTGTGGTATTGGGGCACGAACCTAAGTCCTCACAAATGCTAGGAAAGCATTCCATCACTGAATTACATGCCTAGCCCCCTTTTTAACCTTTTACCAGAAGCTCGAAGGCCAGTTAGACTTGAATATGCAGCCACAAGCAAGGAGGGACCCTGTCTTAAACAAGATAGGAGATGGGGACTGGCACTCAAGGTTGCCCTCTGAGCTATACATACATAGATACATAGACACAGACACACAGACACAGACATACACAGAATGTTTGGAATTGGGGTTGGGAATGTATATTTTCTTAAAATTATTTTGGTTGACTTATTTTTATTTAATATGTATCAGTGCTGCGTGTATGTAAGTGCACCCATGTCATGCAGTGCCTGCAGAAGTCAGATGGGGGCATCAGATCCCCTGGAACTGGAGTTAGAGATGGTTGTTAAGCACCACGTGGGTGCTGGGATTTGAACCGGGGTCCTCTGCAACAGCAGCCAGTTGGACCAAGTATAAGAGATCTGAGACTGAGCTGGTGTTTATTCATCACCTTATTCTGAATGAGGGATTGTGTTCTTA